CGCCTGGTTGTGCAGGCTGGCAACTGGCTCAGGGAACTCCTTCCCCCTCCCACCTGTGGCAGCAGCTGAGGCAAGCAACTGTACAGGGGGAGGGGAGGAATTACCCTTGGCTCCCCGGACCTGCCCCAGGGAGGTGTGCTCTAGCCCCCTCCCCCCGGACCTGGATCAGTGCAGGTTTCCACCTGCCTTTTCCAACTGGAAACTGTACGTCAGTTCAGTTCATTATCGGTTCAATCTATGCAGCTTAAAGAAACCAGCAAAAATTTAATTGATTCTTCCTTGGGCTTTTTGGCTGTCTGTACTTAGCCTACCTGATTGTGTTAGCTGAGACAGAACCTCTTTTCTGTTCTCAAGGAAACCACATTCCGGAAATGATTTTGAGTCTCAGGATTCAGATGTATAGGTGGCCTCGCCAAAATGAAAATATCAGATTTGGGGGGGGAGGGAATTCTCAGAAAATCATGATGAAAATTTTACATCGCTTGCTTCCTTGGAGGAGGATTTTGCCCTTGTACAGACATAATTTCTTCCACTGACTTCAGCAAAGAGTTGTGCATGTGCTAGCTAACAGATTAATACAACTTTAAGGCCCAAATTTACAAATGTGACAGAAAATCTGAGTAAATGGGTTTAGTACAAATGAACCATGCACATGATGAATGGAATAAAAAACTGTCACTTTGTCTGTACACACAGTAGCTGCTGAGAGATGTGGAAAAGAAAAAGTACTTTACCAGAAGAAGCAGCGTGTTAGTTCGACCTGGCTCTGCAGCATCTGTATAGACTGGGTGCTTCAGTGGGGCTATTTGGCCCTTTTATCTAATAGGTGATTCAATCAGCTATTAGATAAAAGGGCCAAAAAAGCCCCACTAAAGCATCTGATCTATATAGGTGTTAGGCGAGCTGGGTCCAACTAATGCGATTCCTCTTCTGGGTATGAGCTGGGCATTCAAACTTGAGGGCATGTGGAGTTTAAGATAAAGTCCCAGGGAAGGGGGGGAGGAGGGAGGGAAGGGAGGGATAACATCTATAAGCAGGAAGTATGGATAAATGCACCCAGTCCTTTTGTTGTAGCTATTCCAACCACTGAGGGGTTAGAGTTACTGTGTACAAAGTATCTACCACTTCTGTTTTGGTGAACTGCCAAATGGTCCATCTGCTCTGGTGTATAAGCTTATGCAGAACTCTTTTCTATTTAAAAAAGATTCAGAATCATATGGCCATTAGTCTCCTTCCTCCTGAACTATAGCAATTCTGCAATTCTGCTGCTCTGAAGTTGACTGTGGGTGAATCTACCTCAGTTTGGGTAAAATGTCCACATCCTTGAAGTCTGTCTTTATCAAAACAGACAACTCGTACTTACAGTACAGCAGTACTCAATAATGAACTGAAGTAATAACAATCTTTACTACAAAAAAAAAAAAGATTCTGCAATAACAAGGAGCTGTACTGAAACTCTAGTATCACCTATTTGGCTTTGCTTTTATCTCTCTCCTGTTCTAACTCATGTAGCATTAGCTGTCAGTCAGGCTGCAAAGTATCATTCTGTGTTGTATCCTTACAAAGACCAGCAACATAAATATAAGATGCAAAAGAAATATATGCATAACTCTGTGCTTTACCTTTCAGACAAAACAGGCTTTGTTTGATGTAACTGATAAATATTAAATTTCACATGAACTGTTTATTACTCAGAAAGCATAAGGACACAACAGCAACTCATATGTCAGCTGCTTCATTGTTAATTTAGACTGTGCAGAACTATTCAAGAGCTTGTTTATACTATGGCAAGCTTGACTTGCATTCTGTATCTGTCCAGCTCAGCAAATGAGCTTTTGAAAGGCCTCAATATTGGAATTTTCATTGAATTAAATATAAAAAGGAATAATACAATCACTATAATACACCCCCTCATTTAATTTTATATTGAATTTCATTTATTTTATGCTGCCACTGAATTCTTAATGTTCAATGTTCTGCAGTATTTGTACTGGAAATGTATAACTGTCAAGGGAAGCTAAAAGCTTTGGCAGTTCTGCATTGGACAGTTGGACCTGAGGCAGCTGCAGAGTTGGAAACATTTGGACTTGTGGGGTAAGTACAATAGGTGATTATCAGTGATCAAGACTGCAATAGTTACCAGTATTGACATCAAAACATGCATCATCAGATTTCAAAATTAACACTCGGTGGGAGGAATTCAGCAGTACACGTCTCTCAGACCTATTGTTTCATAATGTTGGCAGGCTCAAGCATACATCACTGCATGATTTAAACTCAGTCCATGCTTGAAATCTTTTGTTTGCAAGTACATGGGCTGAAGTTAGCTGAGAACTCCATCAGTGTAAATTGGTGTACCACCATTGGCTCATAAAATAACACCATTTTATGCTAAGTGATGATTTGACCTTTATTTATTTAATTAATGTTAAAGACAGTTTAGCCTCTACAACTAGAGACAGATGACATGGCATACATTACAGCCATGGATTATTTGGGCTCTGGCTATGACCTTTTATATGAAAGGAGCTGAAAGTTAATTCTGGTTGAGTATTGAATTCTACTTGACAAGCAGGTAGCACAAATCCATGAACGACTCACAGCTTGACAAGGATGAGTGAAAGAAACATTATTATTTGAAGTGTTAGTTTTCTCCTATATTTCCTTTGCCATATTGGTATTATTTGGAAGGTATCACACATTAACAGGTCCTACAGCAACAGGTTGGACCTCTTCCAGTTATCCCCTTCACTGATGTAAATCAAGTATAGGTCCACTGACCTTAAAAGACCCAATATGTCTTTGAGAAAATAAGAACAACTCTCACTGATTTCAGTGGGAGTTGCTTGTTGCCAGCAAAGAGAATAACTAAAGTAAGAAGGCATATGAAGATTGGAAAAACTATCTGGTAAAAAAATCAGCAGTAATATATGTCACCATAGGTATAGGTTATACTGCAATGGTACTGATGCTAGGGGATGTCAGACTGTTAAGTTACTCATTTCATAGGGAGAAAAGACTTTTCAGGTTACTGAGAAAGTGTGCCAGGATGGCATTAACTGAGTTATGAACCCACCCCTGAGCATCACATATACTTCTGCTTAGGGGAAGAAAAGAAAGCAGCATTAGATTCCATGTGGATTATAAGGAAGTTACTTTAAAAAATCCTTAGCCAAGGAAGGACCATGTCCTCAGTGGTGTGGCAATGGAACTGTCTAAATAAGTATTTTTCTAGTTTAGTGAGTCCAGTCTAGCATTTAAAAAAAAGGTTCAGATCACACTTCAATTATATTTTTTGTTTTTTTATTTTGCACCAAACACCAGTTTTCATTTCCACATTTGGCACTTCCAGCAAAAAGATGCAAAACAGTGAAAATTAAGGCTTACAGTTACACACTCTTCATAAAACCACCAAGGAAGAAGATGAGAAATGGTGTCAGTATGCTGCTTTAATCTCCCTGCCACATGTACCTAGGTTCAATTCTGTCCTTTGACTAAGGAGATTTTAACCCATCTTTCCCTCTTCCAGAAAAGTGTCCTAATGCCTGGAGAAAGGTTACTCTAGGATGTGGTCCTTGCAATCTTTTTGGTTGACAATGTTCTACTTTGCTTAGTGTAGCAAGGAGCAAGGAACTTGAATGCCCTGCAGCCCAGGTAAGTGCTATAACCACTGGAGTTATTCTCCCACTCTCTCTTGGTCAGTGAAAGGAGAATACTCAGAAGTCTGAGGCTTATGATATTAACCTGAGAATTAGGAGATCATGGCTTAATTATCTGAGAAGGTTTTGTTTTGTTCCTTAAAGTGCCTAATATTTTGA